CACCGAAAACCACTCATCTGACTTCGACTGGGACAAATTTTATGGCAAGGGTTTCGATGTTCTGCACATGAGCACTTCGCCGCGCCTCTGCGCCTCGGCTGATCCTATCACCAACATGCGCATCGCCCTAATGTTAGCCGAGTACGGCATCTCGTACGGCAAGGGAAGCATTTCGCCATCCTTCAACTGGAAGGACAGCAATACCGGCGGCAAGGATCCAACCGCTATTTCTGCATCGCTGCCGATTCGATTCGTCGACAATGACGTAGCAAAATCCACGGTTCAGGGCGAGTTGGCCATCATGCTCTATCTGGATTCCGTATACGGCTCCGAAAAGAAGGAAGCGGCAGATAAGTCGCAAATAGATGTTGCGAAAACATTCACACGTTTCCAGGATGGCCTTGCGCTCCTCGACAAGTGGCGAGGGCTCGAGAAGGACAGCAAGTCAGGAAAGCGTGACCTCGCACCCTTGAAGAGAGAACTCGCCACCTGGGAGGGATATGCAGGTGAGGCCGACTTCATTGCGGGCTCTAGTATGTCGTTGGCCGACTTTGCAGTATGGCCGGTGTTACACGAAATCTCCAAGGACGCCAACACCGAAAGTCTGGAAGCGACCAAGAAGCTGAAGGCGTACTACGAGAGAATCAAGTCCACCGAGTCTGCCGCCAAGGTCCTTGATGCAACCCAACCTGATACCACTGGGGCTGTATCGGCGGACCCAAAGACTGAAAGTGTGATCGAGGCATCAAAGCCGAGTGAGAGTCCCTCAGGCGAGAAGTTGCAGAAAGACTGAGCTACAAAGGGCGGTTCCAGGATGCAGGGCGAGCTTCGAGGACGAAGTGTTTAGATAGCGGACATCACATACTTGATAGCTTTCCAATTACACTTTGTAGCCATGCACTGTCCTTCCTTTCTCACAGCTCTGGTCTTTATAGTTTACCTTTTCCGTGAACGGGTTGGTTATGTGAGAGACATAAGTTTACGAAATGTCACAACTATCATTGAATAAAGCACGAATTTAAGAACGGATTTTCCTGCAGCTGCAATTTCTATTCCACCATCTCGTTGAGGATGGTCAAGTTTTGTCAACGCTAATTGGTCTGTGCAAGTCCCCCTAAACGATGCATATGCAGTTTGGGGGAAGTGGGTACCCTCACGGATATAGACCCGTATTTGATATGAAAATCAGTAAGGCTGGATGGAACGATGAGACCGAAATCGTTCTCGCAAAGCCTGTCCTCATCAAGAATGCCCCCATAGAACGCCGTAAAGGAAGAAGAGATCCCGTGCCCAGTGCCCATTTCACGACGAGTTTCCATGAACTATAAGCTCGTCGGAGCTGGTCTCATCGCATCGCTTAAGAAGAGTGGGCGTCCCACGGCAAAGGGTAAGTGCCCACCCAGTCGGCCACCTCGGACCTCAACTGAACAATCTCGGGATCGTTCTTACCATCACCAAGATGCTGCATGTAGTGTCTCAACAGACCAGGCTTCTTCTCTCCCTTCTCCTCGGCCGCCTTCTTGGCGCTCTTGTTGACGCGAATAGCGATGGTGACGGCGCGGTCAATAATGTCGGCCACGCGGCTGAAGTCCTCCTCAGTGAAAGCTCTCGTCGTCATGGCTGGCGTACCGATGCGCAATCCACCAGGCACAAGTGCCGACTTGTCACCTGGCACGGTGTTCTTGTTGGCAGCAACACCAACGAGCTCCAGCACACGCTCAACGCGGCTGCCATCGATGCCCTGGGGCTTGAGATCCACAAGAATAAGGTGGTTGTCGGTGCCGCCGGAGACAATGCTGTAGCCCAAACCTCCCTTCTCCTTGGGAGCACCCAGTCTCTGGGATAGCGCCTTCGCGTTGGCCAGAACTTGAGACTGGTAGGCCCGGAACTCAGGGGCTTGAGCCTGCTTCAAGGCAACGGCCAAGGCGGTGATAGTGTGGTTGTGAGGGCCACCCTGGTGGCCGGGGAAGACAGAGGCGTTGATGGGGCCCTCGAGGTTGTACATTTCGTCCTCCTTCTTGGCATTCTGGCGACGCACTCCCTTGCGGAAGAAAATCATGGCGCCACGAGGTCCTCTCAGACTCTTGTGACTTGTAGTGGTGACGATATCGGCATAGTCGAACGGGCTGGGCATGACCTTGGCTGCCACCAGGCCAGAGATGTGGGCCATATCGGCCACGAGGTAGGCGTTGGTCTTGTCACAGATCTCGCGGAAGCGCTGGTAGTCGATCAAACGGCTGTACGCGCTGGCTCCTGCGACAATGATCTTGGGTCGGTAGAGCATAGCAAGCTCCTCCAACTTGGCGTAGTCGATTTGTCCAGTAGCCTCGTCCAGCCTGTAGGGGACTGTTTCGAAGTACTTTGAAATGGCGGAGATCTTCTTAGTCGGTGTCTGGTAGCCGTGCGACAAGTGACCACCGTGAGGCAGGTCCAGACCCATGAGGCGATCGTGGGTGTCCATCAACGCCGAATAGACGTACAAGTTGGCCGGGGCACCGGACAGAGCTAGAAGAAGGTGTAAGTAAATGCGTAGGAAGCGGGTCCCTGTGTTGTAAGCTGAGCGCACCTTGAACATTGACACCCCATTGCTTTGAGTCGAGACCGAATGTATCAAGAGCACGCTGCTGGCAGAGACGCTCTGACTGGTCGATGAATTCGTTGCCGCCATAGTATCTTGCGCCAGGATAACCCTCGGAATACTTGTCTTGGAAATAGTCTTAGCTTCCGTCACATCTGGAGCCAGCAATGGACATACTCTGCATCACACTGCCCAAGGCATCGAGGACGGCCTGGGAGGTGAAGTTCTCCGAGGGAATGAGGTTGATGAAGTGCTTCTGTCTGGTTTTCTCCTACGTATTTCCAACCGTATCAGCGGATATGTCGTATGGGAGCATCCTCGGCGCACAGGTTTGTGTGCTGGGAAGCTATCGGTGGGCTTGGGCGGGCTCGTACCTTTTCGATAATGTCGTAGACGGCGGGGTCAGCCTGCTGAAGCTTGGCTGCCAGCAGCTGTTGGTTGTAGAGTCAGTTGAATAACGTTCCCGTTTGTATGCAACCGCGATAGGGGCAGCTATGCGCACCTGTTGCTGGCCCTCCAAGCTCTTGGTCGAGATGAATCGCCTCACGCCACCTGCGCAGGGAACTGACGCCGCCTTCGGCAGGAAGCGGGAAGCACGAGCTGTGCCTCGAAATGCTGGAAGTGACATGACGCCGGTATGACGAAGGAACTGTGAAATAAGAAATCAATTGCCTGTTCCAAGAGTTGTTGTGAAGCTTGAAAAAGGTTGGAGGATGCGAAGGAGAATAAGTTGGGGGGTGAGACGAAGCTGGTGGCGGTTAAGGAAGGAAGGCGGTCGACATACTGGTGAATAAGGTAGGGACGGAGCTTACAACTACAAACCAATTGACCCAGCTACAACAATACCATGATGTAGCGGCGGCGGGTGTGCACAGGCATGAGGAGACCGCGGTACATAAGGACCTGGGGATTGGGGGGTTTCGGGGGACAACTGCCGCTGCTTCAGGCGGAATGTGACCCGAGAACCATGAAGCAAAGCAAAGCGCCCGGTGTGGTGGCCGAGCTGCTCAGTGCTTGTGTTGGTGGTTGGCGGTTGGAGCCGGGGTTCGGCTCAACTTCCGACCTCGCACTTGTCCGTCGTGCACTGCATTCCAACTTCCATCCTGCTAGCCATCCTGCGCTCCGCGCTGCGCGCTTATCAGCACTTATCGCATCGGCCCATCGTTGTGGGACAAGAAACACACCCGAGGCACTGATATCGTTCCAAGCCTTCAAGGACCTTTGGCATCCGTCCTCCGTGGAAAGTTGAGAACGTTGAGCTGAACACGCACGGACCCCTCGGTAGCGACCCGCCGCACTTGCCCCAGCCCCACAATCTCTACCCTTTTTCAAGGCCGCGTTGTGAGTTCGAGCTTTTCCTTTCTCTTCTTCTCTTCTTTACAACTAAATTGGAGATGACGAGCACGCTTATTGTCACATCAGCTCTTCCGCTTCGGCGGGTGCATGATGAAATGTTCTGGCGTCCTCACCACCTTTTTTCAGGACAATATGAAACAATCTGATCCAATCCATGTTGTGCTTCTTTACTCATCTGTTTACCTTGTCTTTGAAAAATTTCAACCTTTTCCATCCTAACTCTTTGTCGGACGCGACGGACACGGTTTTAGAACCACATTCCATCTTTTCCGCCATCAGATAGAATCAATATTAGAAAAAAAATGTAACTCGGAATGCCATCGGGGATGGGGATCCTGGCGAGTGCCACGGACATTCTTCCAGACCGATGAAGCATCTGGTTTAGACTGCCTACTGTGGAGATGTCAACTGGTTGTCCGCAGCACATTTTGAAGCAATGGTAAGGACAGCCCAGTAGTCCTTTGTATGCTTTGCCGTGGCCTTGTACTCTTCTGGTTGTGGTAGCCCAAGCCACAATGGGCTGACGCCGTCTGGAGTAGTACGGATGGATATCTTTAACAGCTGCGGGGACTCACTTGTAGTCGAATCAATGAGGATGGCTTAGATGCTGAAGTTCCATACGTCTCATTTTGGTTGGAAACATCTGTGTGGCCAATTTCCGATGTCCGTCGAACCAAACATTGTTTAGCCCGACAATCCCATTGGGTTGGTGGCCCACGCTTGATGAGTGCGGACAAGCACGCGGTGTATGACGCTTAGACTTCACCGAAGAGAAAGACGAAAACTGGCCCAGATGGTGAACGATCTTGAGAAGGGTTGAAAAAGGGTATCTATCGTCAGACATGACCAGGAAAATGTCACGAGGACTCTCATGAATGTAGAACCGTAAAAGAATTGCTGCTACTCATTTTCGTTCCCGTAATTTGCCATGTCATCGATTTCCATTTTTCAATGCTACATGCCAAAGCCCTGCTGCGACAATAGGGACAGTAGGACGTAAAAAAAGAAGACCCAACCCGATGACTCCGAATGCAGCCGCCTAAGGACCGAGATCGATCGTGATCATCTATTTGGCCTCCTCCTCGCCCTCGCCCAACAGAGCGTTTCTCTTCGCCGTCTGTCTCTCCTGCTTGCGCTCGCGGGCAGCCTTGGTCTTCGCACGCTTGGCGTCCATCTCGTCCTTGAGAGCCTTCTCGCGGGCCTTCTCGGCCTTGGCACGGTGAATCTGTGAGGTATCCGGCGTCAGCCCACCACTCATCTCCAATATTGCAATCCAAAGATATAGTTGGGGCGAGACTTACGTGCTCAACGAGAGCACGCTTGTGCTTGAAGGCGTTACCCTTGCTGGAGTGGTAAAGCTCGTGGTAAAGGTGCTTGTCGATCTTGCCGGAGGCACGGTACTTCACCAGAAGACGGCGAAGGACACGGAGGCGGCGCATCCAGAGGACCTGGCTGTGATGGGGTCAGTATGAATTTCCGCCAGATGTATCAAATCGGTCCGCGAGCCGGAAGACTTGTGGATATCGTTGTCGAACGTTCAAGGGGGTTGCCCAAGTGATATCCCAAGAGTAACCTCCAATAGCGGACCGATCGATGGGAATGGTGTCGACGAACCTGGGCATACGGGCCTCAGCGGTACCCTTGCGCTTACCGAAGCCACGGTGGCGACCGATGCGGCGAGCCAAGTTCAGCTCACGGGCACGGGACCGCGAGTGCATGGTCACGGGCTTGCGGATGATGAGGCCATCGGCGACGAGCTTGCGGATGGTCTGGCGAGAGTTGGCGTTGGAGATCTCGTTGACCTCGTTGGGGTCGAGCCAGATCTTGCGCTCACCGCAGCCGATGACCGACGCGGCAAGGCGCTTCTGAGTTCGCAGATTGACCCTGTGAAGACATTGGGCATCAGCAATTTGTCCTTGGTGGTGGGAGAAAAAAACATCGTCGTCCCGCCGTCGAATTGATGGATGCCGTCGTCGGTTTTTGTCGCCCCCGCGTGTCCCGGGCTTCGATAGACCCTAAATAAGGCTTGCCCGGTGCAGTAGGCGACGCAAATCGATTTGGGCTCGGTGGAAGAATGGTGTAGTGCTCGTATCGTGATAACTTACATCTTGAATGCTGTCCTAGTCGATGGTCGTACCTACCGGGGGAGTCGAGGGTGTTGAAATTTCGAGAGGGGTGACAGGAGGCCAATTTTTCTGAAAGGCGAAGTGTGAGAGCAGAGTCGGGGCTGACTCTGTGTGGGCAATGTGGGGCGATGGGTAAGCGAGCCCGGAAAAATCGAGGCCACACTTTCGCTCTTAGGTCACGTGTCGTCAACGACATAGGCCCTTTGGTGTGTCTTAAGGGGCCGGTGCACGCAAATGAGAGATACATCAGGTACTTGCACTCCATGTTCAGGGCACCTCTGGAAGATTAACATTGCCCGGCAAGGATCCCAGCATATGTACCTCAGGTACCTTGAAATCTAATGTCGTCTTCCTATCCTCGCGTGAACGCTGGTTGAGGTGGTTTGGAGAATTAAACAATGAAATGGTTCTCGCCGAATTCATTGAAAATACTAATACCTTGACCCCGGCAGTCATTCAGCGGTAGCTACTGCACGAGACACGGATTCATGTTTAGTCTCGCTCGTCACTTTTGATTTTCTGGAGATATCTCAACTTTGATGGAGCGTCATCTCCATCAGATAGTGCAACCATGGCATACCTTCGTCTTCCAGGGCCGCAACAACTGCCTTACTCATTTTAACCTCAAGCTAGAGAGCGAATCATCTTTTTACTCAACAAAGCCGCTTAGTGATCACGTAAAACAAAACTTTTAAATTTCAATGTTTGCCCCTTCCTTTTACTACAACCTTCATGCCCTATCTACTTGCCAAACACATCCTCACCAACGTCGACCTTACCCACGCTCCAGATCTCCTTCTCGTCCTCGACCTCGTCGCTAGACAGACCCAGGCCCCCTTGGCCACCCTCAGCCTCTTTCCGCTCACGTGCTTGGGTCCCCAGCCGCATTGTGACGCGCTTGAAGTAATCCTGCATGCTCCTCTTGGTGTTCGGCGGCAGATTGGCACTTTCGACGTACTTGTCAAAGACTCGTGTCTCATCGTCCACCACATTGAACAAAGCCATAAATGCAGCTTCGGCGGCTAGCTTGACTGGAATAACAGGGTCCCTGACACTGGCAAAGATGGGACCTGCAAGCGCAGCAACATGCGGCCTGACCATGTCCATGTCCACGCGGCTCATTGTGCGGACAATAACCAGAGCAAGTCGGCGCGAGTCGACAGGGCCTCCCGGTTGAATCGTGTTGGCAAGTGCCTCAAAAATCTTCTTGTTCGAGTCGAAAGACTTTGTCGAATCTGAGAGGAGATATTTGCCCGTGGCAAGGATGACATTGTCGGCAATGTAAGGCTGTGATACGAGTTAGTTTTGCGTTACTTGGAGGCCATCACAACGAAGTACTTACGTTCTTGTGGGACATGCCCTGGCCAAGGAGGTCGGGCAAGTCGTCCGCGAGAGGACTTTCAAGGAGACTCTTCGGAGACTCCACGAGCACTGCGTTCAGCGCCAGTGCTGAAGAGTGACTCCAGTGGCTAGTCACAACTCTGTTCTTGAGCAACCCATTGGCAGCCTCCTCGGGAACATTCTTAATCAATGCTCCAAGCAGCTTGGCGTTTGTGATTGTCATAGCATCGTCCCTCTCGTCGGTATCCATGTCAATGAGACCCAAAACGGCGGTTCGCGATGTTTCGCCCATGTTGGCGCCAGCTTTGCTAATGACTTCGTAAAGTGCGCTGAGCATAGCCGTTTTGACACCGGGGTCTGATGTCTTGGAGCCAGTGACGAGCTCGGCAATGAGCGGATCGATACGTGGCGTGTACTTGATAAGAGTACCCAACGCCTTGGCCGCGCGGGCTCTGAGGACCTCGCTCGATGTGTCTGCAAGAGACTTAGCGAAGGTGCGCTGAAGCTGAGGCAAGAATGGCTTCAGTGCCGCAGGCATCTTTTCCAAGAGGTTGTTGAGAGTCAACAAAATGGCAGACTTGACGTCTGTAGACCTTTCGGAAACAACACGAATGAGTGGACCTGTTATTTGTGTAACAAACGGCTTCAACGAAGCCTCGCTTGTCCGGTCGACGATATCGGAGATAGCCAGAGCTGCCTGTGTTCTCTGCTCCGGCGTGCCATTCATAAGACCCTGCAGGAAGATGGGCAGGATGGCGTTGATACCCTTGGGGAGCTCGAACCCGGGCAAGTTCGCGCCAGCCACACCAACCTGCTGGAGAGTTTGTCTGGTGGAAATAACCAGGCCCTCCATCTCTTCTTTCTTGAGCTTTTTGGTGAACTCGCTAAGTGCAGCCCAGGCACCCTTGACAACGCTTGCGTCTCTATCATCGAAGGAGATGAGAAGCGACCGCACAATATCTTGATTGTAGCGCGAATAATCCACTTCGCCAGCGGCAAAGAACTTGCCCAGGTGGCGGGTCGTCGCTGCACGTTTCCGGTGATCGTCGTGCTTTGTAAGCTGAAGTAGTACGTTCATCACTGTATTGAGTCCGTCATACTCGTCGATGGACAGGATCACAGTATCGAAAGATGTCTCGAGATCCTCTCGCAAAGCCTCGTCCTCGCAGGTAATGATGTTCTCCATCAATGAGTTGATGATGTTGGGCAGGCGGCGGTTCATAGCAGCACCGGCCACCCTCGACAAGGAAGCGAGAGCCTTGGCGTTGAACGCAGAGATGGGAGGGGTAATAAGCGTGGGGATAAGATTGGGAAGAATGATGTTTGAGCGAGTCGTCTCAGTAAGGAGGGTAAGCAGGGCTGACAAGGCGTTGTCGGCGTTCTCATCGGAGCGAAGGAGGTTGAGCAGGTATGGAAGCACCTGGTCCACAGCTCTCTTGCCCAGGATCTGCTGGAGAGAATCGAAGGCTTCTGCGGCAGCCTCTCTAACATCAGCATCTGAGTCAGTGAGGGCTGTTCTGACGACAGAAATGAGCGTCTTCTCGTGGTCCTCCAAGGCATCCTCTGAGGCCGAGGCAATGAGTTCCTTGAGGGCAAGGCAGATACCCTGCTTTGCGTCTGTGTCGGTGGAGGTTTGCAATCCCTCCTCAAGAGTAGGCAGCAGGGTGGAGAGGACACCATCACCGGCTTTGCGGATCAATTCGCCAAGGGCATTGCTAGCAATGACCTTATGCTCCATGTTGGAGCTTCCCAAACGCTTGATGATGAGTTGAGTAAGCGTCGGCACCAACTCCTTAAGAATGCGAGGGCTGGAAACCAAGGCCTTCCACACAGCAACGGCAGCGGAGCGGACGGCGTTGGCGGTATCGCAGCGGCAAACATAGAGAGCAGAGAGAATCTTGTTTCTCTTTTCTTCGCCGAGGACCTCGCGAAGTGATGCTCCTGCCTCTCTGGCGCTCTCCTCGTCCTCCTCTTCATCCTCGGCCTTGCCACTGATACCTGTGAGGTTGAAGAGAAGGTCACCAACAAGCTCGACTGAGCTAAGACGAATGCGGTAGCTGTCATCGGCCAAGCCGCGTTCAAGCTCTGGAAGTAGCAGATCAACAGCGCGAACAGCAAAGTTCTTGACAAGGAGACGACCTGCACGAAGAGCAGTCTCGCGGATAGACTCCACATCATCAGCAAGACCAGACAAAATGGGAGGGATGATTCTGCCCAAGTAGTTTGCAAAGCTGTTGCCAAAGCAAACAGGGAGAAAGATGAAGAGGGACATGAAGCCTTCGCGAACAGCCGGCTTGGTCGACTCGACGTTTTGCAGAATGGTCGGGAGAGTCTCTTCGAGTCTGGTGGTACCCAAACCTGCGAGGACCTCGCTGAGAGCTTGGGCGGAACCGAGACGGTCGCCAGCGCCGTTGTCTGCCTTGAGGGTTTGCATAAGGCCAGGGATGAGATCCGGCAGGGCATCTTCTCCCAGCTTCTCCACAAGCGATCCCAAAGCTCTTGATGCGGTGGCACGAGTTGTGGGGACAGGATCGACGATGGCAAGCTTGAGTCCGGCAACAAGGATTGGCAAATGCGAGACCAAGTCTTTTCTCTCAGTGAGATGCGCAAGACTGCCAATGACTTGTGCTGCTTTGCGCTTGGTGTTTGAACGGTCGCCCAAACCACGTTGCAAGATTCTTGTGACCAGCGCCAGTGACGGAGCATCCAAGTAGTGCACGAATTGGACCTTGATCAGAGAATCCAAGGCATCATCCGTGTATCTAGTGGGGTCGCTGAGCGCTTTGAGAAGGATGTCGACAAGACCCTTGATCTCAGGGTTACTGATTACCTCGCCAAATCTCTTCAAGCTCTTGTTGGCACCCGAGCGGACCTCCTTGTGACTGTCGTTGAGAACACCAGTGAGAGGGGGGATAATATCGGGCAAACTCTGCGCCAGTTGGTTGGGGTCAAGATAAGCCATGGCTCCCAGCAGGTCACAGGCTCCCTTTTTACTACGCCATTGGTCATCGTCCAAACCGTTGAGTAGGGTAGGAAGGATCTTCTTGACACCATATGAGCTCAGCTTGCCGAAACAGGCCTTTGCTGCTGCCAGACAGGAGTCTCGGACGTTGGCGTTGGCGTCACCAAAGCCAGTAAGAAGCTGAGGAACGATTTGAATGACGTAGGGTTCGAAGAGACGACCTAGGATGGTGGAAAGAAGCTCGTAAGCCAGGAGGGCGGCTTCTCTCTGGTTCGGCTCCTTTTTGTTTTCCATGGCACCCCTCAGTGTCATCATAATACGCTGGTCTTTGAGTGACGAAATGCCACGACCCTGAACGAGACCGGCAAGACCATAAGCAGCACCACGCTGCTCGGCATACTTCTTTGAAGTCAATAGGGTCTCAAGGACCTGAGCGAAGTACTTGGATGACTTGTCTCCGTAAGCCCGGACTAAAGGTGGCAGGCAATCAGCAATAGCATACTGCACGGTCTCGGAAGGCGTGCTCAAGGTCGCCAGCAGTCTGTCGATGACCACAGGAAGTTTTGAATCACCTGGGTTCAAGTGACGCGCAAGCGCACCATACATGATGATGACAGCTTCGTTAACACGGTCTGACGCTTCGGTATTCTTATCCGGACCTTCGAGCGTACGCTCGAATACCTTCATCAACTTGTCAACCATTCCCTTGCCATGCAGATCAATGGCGTGGATGGCTGCATCTAGCATCTCGCCACGGACGTTCGCGTTCTGGTCACCCAAAGGCCCCTTCTCAATCAAGAATTCAAAGAAAGGATCAAGCTGCTGCTTAGCCATGTGAGGGGCCAACTCCTTGAAAGCAGATCCAATGCCGTGGCGCGATTCCCAAGGATCTGCCAGATTGGTTTTCTTAGGCATGCCATATTCATCCAACTGAGGGACACGCGGTTTGGCGAGGTCGGTGTATGAGGCTTTCAAAGACTCCAAGATAGGCTCCAGCGTCGAGTTGTGTGCCTTGCAGGCTTCAGCCAAGGCCCGGGCTGCGGCTCTACGGAGCTGACCGTCAACACTATCCAAGTAGACGAGCATCTTGGCTGGAACCTCTTCAGACAGGGCAAAGCCGCTTTCTTCCCAGATCTCACGACCAAGCTCCACATTCTCTTCGATGTCGTCGTGACATGCGATCCAAATTTCGTTGGAGAAATTGGATTCGCTCATATCAACTTCGGAGCTGATAGCCTGCAGCACAGCGGTTCTCACGCTGACTTGAGGAACGATGGATCCCTTAGCCAGGGCGGCGATTTCCTCGGATGTCAT